CTTTTGTTTTGTTTTGGAGTTTGTTTGTTTCTTTGTTTGTTTGAGATACAGTCTCACATGCTGGCTAAAAATTTACTGTAATCTCCCTGCCTCGGTCTTCAGAGTACTGGGATTGCCAGTCCTTTACTTCCTTGTCTTTTTTTGTTTGTTTACTAAAGTTTACTTTTGGAAAAACTTGCCGATAAAAAATAACACACACTGAAATTAACGAGACCCAAAGTCTGTACATTTCAGTAAAATTCTATATAGATTGAATAATTATTCTGAAGCTATGGAACTTCACTTTGGATTTTACACTCTATCAAATACATTTTTATGTACTTATCACCAAAAAAAATCACGATAGAGTTAGAACTAAAAGAACAATTAGCTTTATATTAGTAGTAAGTATGGGGGTGCCTGAGTGCAGGTAATGGACACAAGTTATGAAAGAGGAGGGAAAGAGGCACTCTGGGTTTGTTGGCTTGTTTGTCTTATTTCTATTTATTTATTGGTTTTTTGAGACAGGGTTTCTCTGTAACAGCCCTGGCTTTCCTGGAACTTGTTCTGTAGATCAGGCTGGCCTTGAACTCACAGAGATCCACCTGCCTCTGCCTCTGTGTGCTAGGATTAAAGGTGTGCACCACCACTGCCAGGCAAGAAGCACTTTGAAGTAAAACATCATGCTGCCTCTCCCTGAAGATGCTCCCACAGAGATGTCATCCCTCCAGCCCTGTTTGGACACTGCTATTATTCTGCCTCCCAAATGCCTTTGTGCCTGTTCATCGTAAAGAGCAATGAGGGTTTTCACGGAACTAACGAGCATCGATTTTGTTTAATTCTCTGTGAAAGTTGTTGTGGTGTGAAGGTGACATAGATTAGTTTTGTTCTCCCATTTGTTAAATTGTAAATGTGTGTTTATTATAAAAGAAGAGTACTAATGCCATAAATCCTTCTCTGGGAGATAGCAGAGTGCTTGCCTTGCAGATGAGGGGGATCTGAATTTGACCCCAGAACCCATGTTTTAAAAAACAACTGGGTAGGTATGGTAGCACTCACGTGATCTCAACTCTGGGGAGGTGGAGACAGGAGAGGGATTCCTGGGATACTGAGGAACGCCACTTCTGACCCACACAAGAACAGACAAATGTGTGCACACACAAACATGCATGCACATAAATCAGTAACCTGTACAAGGTATTCCACCATAGGGAATGGGCTACAAAAAGCCAGCTGATGCATCTGGGGTAAGTCCTGGTCCCATCGCCAGGGCACCCCAGTTATGTATGTGACCAAGTCACATAACTGTCACCCACATTCACAGGGCCTAGTTTGGTCTCATGCAGGCTCCCCAGCTGTCAGTCAGGAGTCTCTGAGCTCCCACTAGCTGGGGTCAGCTGTCTCTGTGGTTTTCCCTATCATGATCTTGACCCCTGCTTGCTCATGTGATCCCTCCTCCCTCTCTTCAACTGAACTCCAGGAGCTCAGCCCAGTGCTCTGCTGTTGATCACTGCATCTGCTTCTATCAGTTACTGGATGGAGGTTCTATGATGACAATTAGGGTAGTCAATAATCTGATTACAGGGGAAGGCCAGTTCAGGTACCCTTTCCACTATTGCTAGGAGTCTTAGCTTTGGTCATCCTAGTGAACTCCTGAAAATTTCCCTAGCACGAGGTTTCTCCCTAACCCCATAATGGCTCCCTCTATCAAGATATCTCTTTTATTACTCTCCCCTCCATCCCTTCCCCAACTCAGCCATCTCTATCCCTCATGTTCCCATCCCCTCTCTTCTACACCCCTCCCAATTTACCAAGAAAATCTTAACTATTTCCACTTCCTGGGGCCTTCCGTGTGCCTCCCTCTTAGGGGCCTCCTTTTTACCTAGCTTCTCTGGGGCTGTGGATTGTAGCCTGGTTCTCCTTTGCTTTCTGTCTAATATCCACTTATGAATGAGTATATACCATGTTTGTCTTTCTGGATCTGGGTTACCTCACTCAGGATGGTTTTTTCTAGCTCCATTTATTTGCCTGAAAATTTCAAGGTGTCATTGTTTAGAGGCTTGGTTCTGCTTCAACTTGGTGTGCCAGACTTCGTTGACTCCCCAAGGGAGGCCTTATCCTGTCTGAGGAGTGGATGGGAGGTGGGATGGGAAAGGAAGTGGGAGAACAGAAGAAGGGAAAGGAGAGGGAACTGGGGTTGGTATGTAAAATGAAAAAAAAATTGAATTAAGAAAAAAGAAACTGTAAACATCTTGATGACTTCTAGACTACTTTTCTATGCTCATAGTTATGATATTCAGTCATATTGTAAAATCGGATCTTCATGACTTATAATTTACCTTTTTTTAAGTTGAAAATCATCTTTCTATGTCAGTAAAAAAATGCAGTGATCCATGGTCTATATCTAAAAAAGGTGGGGTCCAGTCTCCAAAGCAGATGCAGCTCTAGCCTGTGTGGGCCTGGTGGGGCAGGCGAAGGCAGGGGCCTCCATACCCTGTCTGTGCAGGAGGTGGTGAGCCTGGGAATACTGCCGGCGGTGAAGCCCTGCTTGGGGGACATTTTCCACTTGTTTTTACTTTTTGACACAGGGTCTGTGTTGTGCAGGCAAGGCTTAAAGTCCCTTTAACTCCTGGGCTCAAGCAGTTATCCCCTGCCGTCCTAACTGGGCCGTCATACCTGGCAGGAGCGGGAGTTTTCTCTGTCTTTTGTGTTTCCTCTGCCACTGACTCATGCTGGCAGCCTCTAGCCAGGGTGTAAATCTGAGGGTCCAGCAGTTCTTCTGCAGCTCTGTGTGTCCGAGCCTTGCTGCTCCTCGGTGAAGCGACTCTGTGTGTTCAGAAGAGTGCTAGACCTAATTCCCAATATAGCTAGCTGCTAATCCCACTAAGTCCCTGAAGTCGTAGGCATTGTCCCCTCTATCCTAGTGAAATCCTGAGGTGTCGCAGGCAGCAGGAATGGAGAGTAAGAAAGTCCTGGAGGTTGGTGGGTGGCGTTTGGTTCGTTAGGACTCTCAAAGCATACACTGCTTAATTTTACTTCAACAAACATGTTTCCACTATTACTCCACAGCATCACTGGCAACGTGCGAATTGTTTTTCAATGGATTCTATCGTTTTTGACCCACGTGACAGTGAACACTCTTTGGTGTGTGTGTGCAATGAGTGTGTTCTTTGAGTATGAGTGGGGGCCGGTTCTCTTTTTTTTTTTTATTGAGAAAAGAAGAAAAAAAATAAACAAAAAACAAGTTTCCACCTCCTCCCAGCCTCCCATTTCCCTCCCCATCCTCCCACCCTTCTCCCCCTCCCCCCACTCCTCTCCCCCTCCCTCTCCCGTCCACAGAGCAGTCCGGGTTCCTTGCCCTGTGGTAATTCCTAGGTCCTCCCCCCTCTGTCCATATCTAGGAAGGTGAACATCCAAACTGGCTAGGCTCCCACAAAGCCAGCACATTGAGTAGGATCAAAACCCCGTGCCATTGTCCTTGGCGTCTCATCAGCCCTCATTGTTCGCCATGTTCAGAGAGTCCGGTTTTATCCCATGCTTTTTCGGTCACAGTCCAGCTGGCCTTGGTGAGCTCCCAGTAGATCAGCTCCACTGTCTCAGCCATAAATAAGGGCCACGGAGTCTACAATTGGTGAACCTAAAGAAGATAAGTAAGAAGGTGAACCCAAGGAAAAACATATAGTTATCCTCTTGGCTAAGGGAAGTAGACCAAATTGCCGGGGAAAAAATTGGGATCTTGGGGGTGGGGTGGGATGGGGGTAAGGGGAGATGGGGAGAGAAAAGGTAGAAGGGAAGGAGGGGGGACTTGGGGAAACAGGAGAATTGGGATAAAGGAAGGTTGGACAGGGGAGCACGGAACCACAATTCTTAGTTAAGGGAGCCACTTTAGGGTGGGCAAGACACTTGACTCTAGAGGGGCTCCCAAGTGCCCAAGATGAGGTACCCAGTTAATTCCTTGGGCAGCTGAGGATTGGGAACCTGAATTGACCCTATCCTAGAGCAATACTGACGAATATCTTGCATATCATCATAGAACCTTCATCTGGTAATGGATAGAGATAGAAACAGAGACCTACACAGGAGCACTGGACTGAACTCCCAAGGTCCCAATGAGGAGCAGAAGGAGGGAGAACATGAGCAAAGAAGTCGGGACCACGAGGCGGTTCTCTTTTTCTTACAAGGCCCGTGTGTTCCTCCACCGAAGGATCTGGAAAATAGTGAATCTTCCAAGATGACTACAAATTAGCTATAGATAAATAGTAGAGAGGAGAAAGATTATTATGCAGAAATAAAATCTGAGAGCTGGGAACGCAGCTCAGTGGTCATGCCCAAGGTCCCTGTTTGACCCTCTAGCCTGGAAAGTGTTTATATGCATGTGAATCTTGTCAGCTATATACTAACACCACACACACAAAAACTGTGACTCTCTAGATCTCTTAGATAGGCCCAGTCCTCCATGTTGCTCTCCAGAATTTTAATTGGAATTATATAGGTACCACATCTTTGCCTTGTTGCTTTTTTTGTGTTTTGTTTTATTTGTTTTTTGTTTGTCTGTTTTTTTGGTTTTGTTGGTTGGTTGGTTGGTAAGAAAGGAATCGCTAGCATGCTTCCTCCTGCACTTTTGTGGCATACCTGAGTGAAGTGAACTTTTATTCAAGTGTAGTTACAATGTTGAAGGTACCTAGCAATTTGCTTTTTCTTCTTGCTTTTCCGGGTGAGTCTTAGGAGAAAAAAAAGTCTGTCCAATGCAACTCCAGGAGATCTAGGCTGTCCTTGCTGCTCACTTTGTCCTTATAAGGCTATCCTGTTTTATCACTTCCTGCTTCAGCTCCTGACTTTTCCCTCTTCCCCCTCCGGGCCCTGGGTGGATGCTTGCTCCTGTGGCCGGGCAGTGGTCACATCTGTCTGAACCGGCAGCGGACCAGGCGCAGCTTGGAGTTTTAACTTTCATTTTACGAAGACGCATGTTTGGCTGTTGCATCAGGCAAGTTATAACTGGTACTTACTTCTTGTTCTTCTAGAACACCGAAAATCTCCCCCAGCAGTTTAGAAGAGGGACCCTGTCTGCGCTAAAGAAGAAGTGGGAGACCTCGGTGGCCGGAGTGGAGCCCCACATAGACACAGTGCCAGACAGCAGCGGTGAGGGCGGGCGCAGCGTGGACCCCTCTCCTGCCGAAGTGACCGTCGGCTCTGCTTCTGGACCCCGAGGAGACCGGGAAGAGCAAACCCAGCCCAAACCTAGATTTGGATCTCGCCCGGAAGCCGTTATTCAGTCTTGGTATCCCCGCTCTCAGGACAGCCTGGATCTTAAAGTCCAGGCCACAGAAAGTCAAAAAATGGAAAATTCTCTGGGAGATTCCAGGCATGAAGTAGAGAAATCTGAAGTGAATGAAAACACAGAAGCTTCAGGCAAAATAGAGAAATACAATGTTCCACTGAACAGACTAAAGATGATGTTTGAGAAAGGCGAGCACACTCAAAACAAGGTAAGAGCCAAGTGGGCTTAGGAAAACCGGGAGTAATTCGTTCTCTAACTGAGGCTGTCTGTCTGGTCAGCTGCAGCAGAATGTGGGATCAGTATGTCTTTTGATTCGAGTTGCGTTAATAAAAGCCTCAAATGAACTGTTTACACGGGTGCTGGGTTTGCGAGTCTGCAGTCTAGTTTCATGTAAATCTAGCTATTCTGGGATGCAGGTTGGTACCAAAAAATGAAGGCAGTGGATGCTGGTAGCATCATGTGCTCCCGCACACTCACCCTTTTAATTTGTCTTCCTGTGCCTTTTGTCATTTGTAGCCTTGGGGGTGAAACTGCTGCCTGAATGGCTATCTACTTGGACACAGCTGCCGCCCGAGAGTTGAGGCCAGCGTGCCTAGTGTAAAGACTGAGGCTTGTCTCAGCACTGGCTGAATCCCTTCTCTTCTCGACTTCCTCATCTGTGCCTCCCAACAAATGTTTTTTATCAGCCAGGCTCCTGTCCCAGGAAAAATCAGTGCTGAGAGCCCAGCTAGTGTGGCTTTTAGGGGTTTTGACTTGCAAATGCACAGGGTTACATTTTCCTGCATCTGCTAATGAAATTCAATCCTTCGTGTGGATTGCACACCAGTCCCCAGAGGGAATTACTTAACTGGAAAATGAGTTGCATATGCTGGTGCCTCGCAGCACACTACTCCAGGGGCTGCCGAGCTGGTCAGTTTTTCCAGTTTTCTCATACTTTCCTACGTAGCTGGCGCTGTATACGGACGGGATGGTTTTTTACAGCAGCCCTCATAATGCAGTAAACATATCTGATGGGTAGCAGAGCCATCATACACTCAGATTTCAGCTACGTGGGAAAGCTGTCTTTTCGTAAGCCAAGTATTTGGCCCGCTTCCCTGTATTGGTGAAGTAATAGTGTAAGGCATTCCTTCTGAGATAAAGAAATAGATAGCTTATCCCCTTGAGTCCTGGCTAAGGCTGGGGTGGTGCTGTCAGTTTCTTCAGTAACTCCCTGCAGCTGCTGCCCCCTGCCCAGGAGCGGGCTTGCCTGGAGACCATCTTTGGATGCTAGGAAGAATTTTTAAGGGTTTTTTTTGTTGTTGTTGTTGTTTGTTTTGTGTTTTAGCTAGAACCCTTTCCTGAGTATGCACTTTAGCTCTGCTTCAACACTGGAACCAACTGGCAAGAGACGGAACCACAGAGCTGTTTTATGGCGTTTCTTAAACTCCCCTCTTGACTGCTTTAGTTCCCTGGGCCTGCCAGCTCCCTCTTTCCCCTTTATGGTCTTAATAAAAAAAAAAAATGTTTCTTATTTAAATGGGAAGGAGAATTTTAAATGGAAGGGAAAATGTAAGAAATCCTAACTAGAGAGGAAGGGGCTTTGTTATGACTCAAAGGCCCATTGTCAGCCTCCCAGCCCCTGCGGGTGGGTGCTGACGTCATGCAGCTCACTCACACAGCTCACACAGTGCGGTTCAATGGAAAGGGCCCGTGCACGTCAGAACTGGCCCAAGGTAGGAAATGACTGGGACCGCGCAGGCAAAAGTGCTGACTATGTGTAAGGCTGGAGAGAGAGACTGAGGATGGGTCAGGGCAAGTCTATTTAAAGAAATAGTCAAAATAGCATGGGGGGGGGGGGGAGCGGGGATGAGCACTGCATAAAGAACAACCCTTAGCTGAGCTGGGTGACCCTTGACTCTCTTAGCACTCTGGGAGGCTGAGGCAAGCCCAGCTACAGCACCGCAGATGCCCTGATTCCCCTGGCTCTGCATAAGAAGGGAGGGACCGGAAGAGGATGGGGAAGAGAATTCCTGCTTCCTCAGGGTTAAACCTTGTAGCTAAACTCATTGGAAAAGGGTTCTCAGAGTTACCTGTGCTTTTTGAGGCCTGGGTATTGTATGTGTGTGCCTTTTTTCCCCCCAAATTAAGTGGTCCTTTGTCCCTTATGGCTGTTTCAGAATAAGTGTGATTATTTGTATAAGAAACATTATCAATTATTTTAAAAAGTTTTGTCCAGGGCTGAGACTATAGCTCTGTGTATGTGTGTGTGTTTGCCTAGCATTTGCGAGATCCTGGGCTCCATCTCTAGAACCAGTCACTCCCTATTTCCCCTATACACATACACACACACACACACACACACACACACACGAACACAGAGAGATTCAGACATACATTCAAAAGAACCACTCACTCCCCTACACACACACACACACACACACACACACTCACCCATGTTCCGTACAGTGTCTTGTTTTAGTGTATATATGTATGTTTGAGAGAGGGTCTCATTGTGTAGCCCTAGCTGGCTCTGGCTCCCCAGGGTTAGGATTCAAGGCTCACACCACTCTCCCTGGCTGTTTAGGGCAACACTTTAATCCAACTCTTAGAAAGCTCCACATCGGGTGTTTGGAAGACTGAAAACCCCTAGGCCCCTCCAGGAGTAAGACTATTGCACTACAGCTCAGAACCTGACGATTAGTGACAAGTGACACTGTGATACTTCCATCCAGCAGTTCCAGTACGCAGGAGTTTTAGGCCAGCCTGGGCTACAAAGTGAGTCTAAGGCCTGCCTGGAGCCTCGACTATATAGTGAGACCCAGTCTTTTTTTTTTTTTTTTTTTTTTTTGAGGCAGGGTTCTCTGTGTGTAGCCCCTGGCCGCCCTAGAACTCACTCTGGAAACCAGGCCTCAAACCCACAGAGTGCTGGGATTAAAGGCTCATGCCACCACCCACCTACCTGGGACCCAGTTTTAAACTAAGCCAAATCCTAGAAATGATGATCGTGTTTTCTTTAGCTTCACATAACAGTGACACGTAATAGCATATATGTGCTGCAGTAGCGTGAGCCCTTTGAGCGGACGGAGGGCACCACACTAAAGCCTGACCTCACCCATACTGACAGTTCATACACACCTTCTTGTGGGTGGTGCTGGTCTTGCTTTACTGTTTTGTGCAGAGAGTTTGCCTGCATGTCAGCCTGTGTGCCATGGGCATGCCCAGGGAGGTCAAAAGAAAGCACCAGGTCCAGTTGCCCTGGGACTGGAGTCATAGATTGTGTGGACCACCGTGGAGGGTTTTGTTGTTTTGTTTTGAGGCAGAGTCTTATGTAGCCCAGGCTGACCTTGTGTTGTAAAGAGAGGGCCACTTCTTGGTTCCCAGCCACCCAGCTAGCTTAGACCTGAAATAATCAAACAGAAACTGTATTAATTAAATCACTCTATTAATTAAATTAGCTCTAGCTTCTTCTTGGCTAACTCTTACACCTGAATTTAACCCATTTCTAGTAATCTGTATCGCCACGTGGCTGTGGTTTACTGGCAGTTCCATCTGCCTCCAGCAGGACTATGTGGCTTCTCTCTGACTCAGCCTTTCTTTTTCCCAGCATTCAATTTAGTTTTCCCCGCCTAGCTAAGTTCTACCCTGCTATAAGTCCAAAGCAGTTTCTTTACTCATTAATGGAAATCCCACACCAACCTTAGGCCCTTTATCCTCTGCTTCCTTTTGTGGTGAGATTGTGTGGATGCAGATGTAGGGCAGTTCTGATACTTTCCCTGTGTCTTGCCCGAATGGCTGTTGTTAGTGTATCAGTGATCAGTCATCTTCTAACTGCTTTGTGCCAACTGACGGCTTCTTACTCCAGCCAGCCGTATTTCAGTCAAACCTGTTGAAACTCAGTGTCAAGACTGGAACATTACATAAGACACCCCCATCTGCCAGCCAGGTACCTCCTGTGTCTGTGCTGCCTGCCGCAGGGCTCACTCCTGACCAGTGGGTGTGCATAGATGCCCGTCTCCTCTGGCCTCCAGATGTTGTGTCGACCCTAGAACTACTTGGGAACTTCTAAGTTATTTTGTCTGTTTCCTGCTCTCGGTTGGGATATCATAACCCCAGCTGAATGAAGTTAGAGAAGTTAGCGGGATGCCTGATGTCATGTGACTGATCTCGGGACAAGGCCTGAGCTTGTGTGGTAGTCCTTCTATCGTATGGTGCAAGCTCCACGGACATTAGAGCTGGTCACTGTCCAGACACAAATGACTGTAGCCCTTCCTGTCTTTCTACTGACATTAGAACTGGTCTCTGTCCAGATGCAAATGACTGTAGCCCTTCCTGTCTTTCTACTGACATTAGAACTGGTCTCTGTCCAGATGCAAATGACTGTAGCCCTGCCTGTCTCTCCACGGTCACTGTCCAGACACAAATGCTGTCCTCACACATAAGCTCTCTATTCCCACCCCCCTTTTGAGACAGGGTTTCTCTGTGTAGCCGTTGCTGTCCTGGAACTCACTCTGTCGACCCGGTTGGCCTCAAACTCAGCGATCCTCCAGCCTCTGCCTCCCAAGTGCTGGGATTAAAGGTATGCTCCACCACCGCCTGGCTTGTTTAGTCTTTGTTACCTAGGCATATCTTCCTAGTCCATGCTCTTCCCCTTTTATGAGATATATTTCATTACGCTGCCAATCACTTCCCAATAATTAGATTCTTTTCTGTCTCTGAGTATCTTGGCAGAAATGTTTTGTTTTGAATAATTTCTTTGGACTATATTCTGTTATATGTACCATATTTAGAAGGTATACTTCTCTGGATATTTTTTTTTTCTGGTTTTTCGAGACAGGGTTTCTCTGTGGCTTTGGAGCCTGTCCTGGAACTAGCTCTGTAGACCAGGCTGGTCTCGAACTCACAGAGATCCGCCTGCCTCTGCCTCCTGAGTGCTGGGATTAAAGGTGTGCGCCACCACTGCCCGGCTCTGGATATTTTTCTTACATATTGTGTCAGTTTATCCTCAAAGATTGTACTATGTCAAAACTAGCATTGCCTGAGCACATGACCCTGGAAGCTTCGTCAGCTGTTGGTTTTGTGTGTACATGTTTTGCCTGCATGTATGTGCACCACATGGGTGCCTGGAGTCCATGGAGGTCACAAGAGGGCATCAGAATCCCTGGAACTGCAGTTACATATGATTGTGAGCCACCATGTGAACCCAGGTCCTCTGGAAGAGCAACAAGTGTT